TTATTATTGTTATAAACAGTCTCCTGGTTCTTCGGAGCTCATTAACTGTTTAATAATTGAAAAAAAACGCCAAAGATTTAAAAAAGATGTTCAGGTCCGTAAGTTTTTGCGTAAGTGCTTTCGTGAATCTGGCCCCAGATTATTTACCTTTCATCTTCCTGTAACTGTCCGACTTTACACTGTCCAACTTTAACTTCCCTAACTGCCATAATCTAGTGAAACACTTAACGAACAAGCAGATGATTGGTTAAGGCTGAGCGAAAATTATAACTCCAATTCTGCTCTAAACAACAACATCTGAATATCTAGTTGAATATCTAGTTGAATATCTAGCTGAATTGACTAGTTAATAAGTCAATATTGACTTTACGAATTTGCGAGAACGGGTTGGAATATCGGACCTTCTCGGAGGCAGCGCTGCACTTCTCACAAGTAATTGGAGAACCGTCTAATTACTAATTACCTAACCTAAGGGTGTTGAATACTCTTGCTGAAGCCTCATAGGGTGTTGAATACTCTTGCTGAAGCCTCATAGGGTGTTGAATACTCTTGCTGAAGCCTCATAGGGTGTTGAATACTCTTGCTGAAGCCTCATAGGGTGCCTAATCTTACTGAAGCCTCATAGGGTGCCTAATCTTACTGAAGCCTCATAGGGTGCCTACTCTTGATGGAGCCTCGTAGGGTGCCTACTCTTGCTGAAGCCTCGTAGGGTGCCTACTCTTGCTGAAGCCTCGTAGGGTGCCTACTCTTGCTGAAGCCTCGTAGGGTGCCTACTCTTGCTGAAGCCTCGTAGGGTGCCTACTCTTGCTGAAGCCTCGTAGGGTGCCTACTCTTGCTGAAGCCTCGTAGGGTGCCTACTCTTGCTGAAGCCTCGTAGGGTGCCTACTCTTGCTGAAGCCTCGTAGGGTGCCTACTCTTGCTGAAGCCTCGTAGGGTGCCTACTCTTGCTGAAGCCTCGTAGGGTGCCTACTCTTGCTGAAGCCTCGTAGGGTGCCTACTCTTGCTGAAGCCTCGTAGGGTGCCTACTCTTGCTGAAGCCTCGTAGGTGCCTACTCTTGCTGAAGCCTCGTAGGGTGCCTACTCTTGCTGAAGCCTCGTAGGGTGCCTACTCTTGCTGAAGCCTCGTAGGGTGCCTACTCTTGCTGAAGCCTCGTAGGGTGCCTACTCTTGCTGAAGCCTCATAGGGTGCCTACTCTTGCTGAAGCCTCATAGGGTGCCTACTCTTGCTGAAGCCTCATAGGGTGCCTACTCTTGCTGAAGCCTCATAGGGTGCCTACTCTTGCTGAAGCCTCATAGGGTGCCTACTCTTGCTGAAGCCTCATAGGGTGCCTACTCTTGCTGAAGCCTCATAGGGTGCCGCCATATCTGCATACAGGATCAAAGCCTCTCACTGCTGTGTTATTTTAGTCCTTGAGGTTATCTTGACGTTATCTTGAGATGATTTCGGGGCTCTAGTGTCCCCGCGGCCCGGTCCTCGACCAGGCCTCCACCCCCAGGAAGCAGCCCGTGACAGCTGACTAACTCCCAGGTACCTATTTTACTGCTAGGTAACAGGGGCATAGGGTGAAAGAAACTCTGCCCATTGTTTCTCGCCGGCGCCTGGGATCGAACCCAGGACCACAAGTCCAGCGTGCTGTCCGCTCGGCCGACCGGCTTCCTGTTCTGTTCTGAAGACTGTTCCATTGAAGCAGACCTTGGCTTTCCTTCCTGTGAGGTAGTCTTCAACCCATTTCATGAGTCTCCCCTTGACACCCATTCAAGCAAGCTCGTTCCAAGATCGCAATCCCTTATGCTTTGTCGAAGGCTGCATTAATGTCAACATTTACAGAGTACTTATCTGTGTTATTAGCCAAGTAATTAACTTTACAACTTGCTCCCCTTAGCCTCGTAGATAGCCTGGTGGATAGCGCGCAGGACTCGTAATTCTGTGGCGCGGGTTCGATTCCCGCACGAGGCAGAAACAAATGGGCAAAAGTTTCTTTCACCCTGAATGCCCCTGTTACCTAGCAGTAAATAGGTACCTGGGTGTTAGTCAGCTGTCACGGGCTGCTTCCTGGGGGTGGAGGCCTGGTCGAGGACCGGGCCGCGGGGACACTAAAAGCCCCGAAATCATCTCAAGATAACCTCAAAAGGTGGGAACAAATGTCGCGAAGTTCCATCCACTGCGCCTTGCATCCTTCAGCTGATGTTAGCGAAGGCCAAGAGTCATGCCGTAGCCTCGACACCACAGTCCCATCAACCACGTATTACCAGAGCTGGTACCGGACTACTGTTACCTCACGTAACGACGGTAATCAGAGGTAACACTGGCCAGGAGGAGTGAGGGTCGGGGAGGAGCGCGGTGGGGCGGCCAGAGTGGTAACACTGCTCCCCCGCTCACAGGCCAGCGGCGGCGGCGGCAACACTTGTCCAATATGGGGCCCGTGAGGTATTCTTCGGTCGATATTGTTGCCTGCACACCTAGCTTGGTGGGTGGTGGTGGTGGTGGTGACAGTGGTGGTGGTGAGGGTGGTGGTGGTGGTGGTGGTGGTGGTGAGAGTGGTGGTGGTGGTGAGAGTGGTGGTGGTGGTGAGAGTGGTGGTGGTGGTGAGAGTGGTGATGGTGAGAGTGGTGGTGGTGGTGGTGGTGGTGGTGATGGTGGGTGGTGGTGATGGTCAGATAATGAACCCCATCACTAATGGGAAGCCAGATAAGAGGATTCACAATGAAAGAGGTCACCTGGTCAGCATCGCCCCGGAAGCCTATCAATACTAAAGACAAACAGAAACAAGTAGTGTATTGTGAGGACTAATAATAAACAGAAGCTCCCCTATGACTCTGTAATATCCCCATTGGCCAAACTATTATGTATTAACGATAAGACCTACCATTAATGTATGATGACTTACTGTAAATATGTAGCTCTTGTAATAGCACTTTCTCTGTAACTAGCTGACATTGTATCTATAAGGTGTGAAGGATTGAAGAAATTGTTTATGTAATAATCTAAGATGAGGTCTGATAAAGACCTTTTGTGCCCTCTGTAATGCTTTTTGCGCTACCGCTCACAGGATGAGTATGGGGTGCACAATAAACTAATGACAAGCCAGCCACCTCCCTTCACAACACGTTACATCTGCCTAAACTGTTCTCTCCCGTATGAGAAAATCTCCCAGTAGAAATGTATTTATTTAATAATTACAAATCATTTAAATTATTTATATTTATCAATGATTTATTTTCTAATTAAAGTGGACTGTATATTCATAGTTGTCATGCCAGAAGCCTCCCCCTTCACAAATTTTAATTTTGGGGTTTAATTACATAGCCTAACAAAATTTTTGAGATATATACAAGAGTTGTTACATTCTTGTAGAGCCACTAGTACGCGTAGCGTTTCGGGCAGGTCCTTAATCCTATGGTCCCTGGAATACGATCCCTGCCGCGAAGAATCGTTTTTTCATCCAAGTACACATTTTACTGTTGCGTTAAACAGAGGCTACAGTTAAGGAATTGCGCCCAGTAAATCCTCCCCGGCCAGGATACGAACCCATGACATAGCGCTCGCGGAACGCCAGGCGAGTGTCTTACCACTACACCACGGAGACTGCTGATCGAACCTAATCGATTGGGAGAAATTTGTTACTAATTTTATTTATTTTATTTTTATTTATTTATAAATACAAGAGTTCTTACATTCTTGTACAGCCACTAGCACGCATAGCGTTTCGGGCAGGTCCGTAATCGTAATTTTCACACACACATCCCCAGGAGGCAGCCAGTTGCAGCTGTCTAACTCTCTGGTACCTATTTACTGATCTGTGAGCAAAGCATCAGAGTGAAAGAAACTCTGCCTATTTGTTTCCGTCTCCTCCGGGGATCGAACCCGGACCCTTAGGACTACGAACCCCGAGCGCTGTCCATTCAGCCATCATGCTCCCAAATGGTTAGTCTACGAAATGTTAAGTAATAAGTAAATGAGTAACAGCTTAGCTGTATTGTAGGATGCAACAGCCTGGTGAACCAGACATAGACACGGAAGATCACACGAACTGATTCTCCTGGTGGGTGAGGCTATATAGCGTCTTCACTTGTACCAGGTAGTTCTCCTGGTGGGTGAGGCTATATAGCGTCTTCACTTGTACCAGGTAGTTCTGGTGGGTGAGGCTATATAGCGTCGTCACGGGTTGTACCTGGTAGTTCTCCTGGTGGGTGAGGCTATATAGCGTCGTCACGGGTTGTACCTGGTAGTTCTCCTGGTGGGTGAGGCTATATAGCGTCGTCACGGGTTGTACCAGGTAGTTCTCCTGGTGGGTGAGGCTATATAGCGTCGTCACAGGTTGTACCAGGTAGTTTGCTGCTAATGTCTCCTCTTCCCTCATCATTTTCACTTGTCAAACAGTCACATAGTAATAAACGACAACTAATATATGACAGCTATATCAGAGGCAACATATTACGGTGAATTCAATTAATTTAAGCGTAGCCGTTCAGCGCGGCTTGCCATGCATTCTAAGCACTTATCTGCCGTTAGAACGGATATAGAACACAATTCCCTATTGGCTAGTGAAAGCGTGCTGATGATAAGAGATTTGGCGTCCTGCAACACTTGTGTTTACTAGTTGTGTTTTTACGGGGGTTGAGCTTTGCTCTTTCGGCCCGCCTCTCAACTGTCAATCAACTGTTTACTAACTATTTTTTTTTCCACACCACACACACACACACACCCCAGGAAGCAGCCCGTGACAGCTGACTAACTCCCAGGTACCTATTTACTGCTAGGTAACAGGGGCATTCAGGGTGAAAGAAACTTTGCCCATCTGTTTCTGCCTCGTGCGGGAATCGAACCCGCGCCACAGAATTACGAGTCCTGCGCGCTATCCACCAGGCTACGAGGCCTCCTACCTTAGCTAAGTATTTGCATATTTTTTTGTTTTTGCATTTTAATGAAGTATATACAGTACTTAATTTACAAGACCAATATAATTATCTTCAACATAATCCCGGTATTTTCCCCATAGGCGCCATGTGAATGCAGGGACGCGCCATGTGAATGCAGGGACGCGCCATGTGAATGCAGGGACGCGCCATGTGAATGCAGGGACGCGCCATGTAAATGCAGGGACGCGCCATGTAAATGCAGGGACGCGCCATGTAAATGCAGGGACGCGCCATGTGAATGCAGGGACGCGCCATGTGAATGCAGGGACGCGCCATGTGAATGCAGGGACGCGCCATGTGAATGCAGGGACGCGCCACGTGAATGCAGGGACGCGCCACGTGAATGCAGGGACGCGCCATGTGAATGCAGGGACGCGCCATGTGAATGCAGGGACGCGCCATGTGAATGCAGGGACGCGCCATGTGAATGCAGGGACGCGCCATGTGAATGCAGGGACGCGCCATGTGAATGCAGGGACGCGCCATGTGAATGCAGGGACGCGCCATGTAAATGCAGGGACGTGCCATGTGAATGCAGGGACGCGCCATGTGAATGCAGGGACGCGCCATGTGAATGCAGGGACGCGCCACGTGAATGCGGGACGCGCCATGTGAATGCAGGGACGCGCCATGTGAATGCAGGGACGCGCCATGTGAATGCAGGGACGCGCCATGTGAATGCAGGGACGCGCCATGTGAATGCAGGGACGCGCCATGTGAATGCAGGGACGCGCCATGTGAATGCAGGGACGCGCCATGTAAATGCAGGGACGCGCCATGTGAATGCAGGGACGCGCCATGTGAATGCAGGGACGCGCCATGTGAATGCAGGGACGCGCCATGTGAATGCAGGGACGCGCCATGTGAATGCAGGGACGCGCCATGTGAATGCAGGGACGCGCCATGTGAATGCAGTAGGTGGCTGGTAGCCTGGGGCAATATTGCATTAAATGTTGCCAATTTTCCTTAACAAAAAACATGTCTACCGTATTCTTGCAATCAACAATCACTTTGCCTGTTTGCTAAACCATTTAAACCCTTTCCCACTCAACTCCAGTATTGTGTTTACCATTCACCGTGATCTTACGAATGCAAATGTGCCGAGATGGGACCACCTCCTCGGCCCTGTGTTGGTTCAACACTTCAGGGCTCTGGGGCCAGATTCACGACAGCACTTACGCAAGCACTTACGAACCTGTACATCTTTTCTCAATCTTTGGCGGCTTTGTTTTCAATTATTAAACAGTTAATGAGCTCCGAAGCACCAGGAGGCTGTTTATAACAATAACAACAGTTGAATTGGAAGTTTTCATGCTTGTAAACTGTTTAATAAATGTAAACAAAGCCGTCAAAGATTGAGGAAAGATGTACACGTTCGTAAGTGCTTGCGTAAGTGCTTTCGTGAATCTGGCCCCTGATCCTGTCCCTCCCCTGCCTCCGCCCCCACCCTCCCCACCTTGATCGCAATAGTAACATTGTGCAGCAGTCAGCACTTTCGCTCTACAGTCCCGCTACAAGAAGAGCGCCGAGGTGCCGCTACAAGAAGAGCGCCGAGGTGCCGCTACAAGAAGCGCGCCGAGCTCTACAGTCCCGCTACAAGAAGAGCGCCGAGGTGCCGCTACAAGAAGAGCGCCGAGGTGCCGCTACAAGAGGCGCGCCGAGCTCTACAGTCCCGCTACAAGAAGAGCGCCGAGGTGCCGCTACAAGAAGAGCGCCGAGGTGCCGCTACAAGAGGCGCGCCGAGCTCTACAGTCTCGCTACAAGAAGAGCGCCGAGGTGCCGCTACAAGAAGAGCGCCGAGGTGCCGCTACAAGAGGCACGCCGAGCTCTACAGTCCCGCTACAAGAAGAGCGCCGAGGTGCCGCTACAAGAGGCGCGCCGAGCTCTACAGTCTCGCTACAAGAAGAGCGCCGAGGTGCCGCTACAAGAGGCGCGACGAGCTCTACAGTCTCGCTACAAGAAGAGCGCCGAGGTGCCGCTACAAGAAGAGCGCCGAGCTCTACAGTCTCGCTACAAGAGCGCCGAGGTGCCGCTACAAGAGGCGCGCCGAGGTGCCGCTACAAGAGGCGCGCCGAGCTCTACAGTCCCGCTACAAGAAGAGCGCCGAGCTCTACAGCCCTGCTACAAGAAGAGCGCCGAGGTGCCGCTACAAGAAGAGCGCCGAGGTGCCGCTACAAGAAGAGCGCCGAGCTCT